TAATACGTATTTGGAAATGTCCTCGGGAGTTTCTCTTCCTGCATGTGACTGCATGAATTTTTTTTTTTCGTGTTTTCATGGACTTATGCAAACGACAGTAATATGTCGCGGGCGTTTTTTTGCAGCAGGGCCTGACATAGTATACTAATGAATAGGCTAGTAGAGTACTAGTAGACCTGTATAAAAGTGTTTTGCGCCTACCCGAGTCAGCCTCGAGACCGCTAAATTTGTATTCGCAGAGCCGGCCAGATTATTACTCCCACATGTTATGCGGAAAAATTAAACGTTGAAGATGGGAGAAACGGTGGTTCTGGTTGGACTACCTTGGTGTTCGTGTGTCAATCAGGATTTCACACACAGAATCGACGCACGTATCCACCCGCTTGGGTCCACATGCGCGCCTCCGTGGCGCAAGGTCGCTCGCTCCCGTCAACTATCGGAGAGCCGGCGCCTTGACCCCGCCCAGAGGTATTTGCTATTTCCCTGTTTGCTTTTTTGAATTATTTTCAGCGAAGTCGAGCAAGCGGAAAGGCGCGAGCTGAACCTCAGAGGCTGATCGATGTCACATATGCTGCCATACATTATTCCCACATCTGATTTTTTCTCAGCCAACACGTTGGTCAGGTCCATAAGATGCATACCTATCACACCCGAAATCCACGGAAATGAGCCGCCGTGGAGCAATGAAGCTCGCTCCCGCGAGTTGAAGATATTTTCCGCAGCTCAGTGAGGACGAGCGTCACGCCAGAAATTCTCCGTGCCAGCATAGCCTGAGCAACGTCCCATATGTACGATCGCTCAACACGGGATTCAGCGCCCTAGGGCGCGGTGGGGGCCCGGGAAACTTGAAGCCTGAAGACTGAACCGCAGCTCCCAGCGCAGCAGGCGAGCCATATGCGTGAGGCGATGTAGCGCACAATTGTCAATGAGGGATTCGCCACACAAGAGCTAAACTCAAGTTGCCAGACAGTCACAGATTTCTGATCTTGAGAAATTGAGAGAAAAAAATCGAGTTGCTAGAAATTCAAATAAAAGCGGGGAGACGGCCTGGCCACAGGGCGGCCGGACGGGAGGAATTGGGGAAGGGTTGATGCTTTAGAGTGTATACGGCAACGGGTTTTCTCGAAACTTGATGGGCACGGATTCCCTTTTGTAGTAGTCTCAGAAAGCTTGCATAATCGTGACCCTTTGTGACACATAGTGACCCCTTGTGACTCCTCGCGTCCGCGACTTATCTCGGCATCACCATCGCGTCAACGTCGCATCAACGCCGCCTCCCGTAATGGCGCAACCAGGCAATACCCAGAACGAGATCCCTATCGACCGTGTGCTTCTAGCAGAGTCCGAGAGGGCGTGTCAGGTGGCTTCCGCACCGACGAAAAAACAGCAGGCCTCCTGGACAGCACTGAACAAAAAAACTCTCATGGACCTCGCGCTGGAGAGGATTGCAGAGGCGGGGGAAGGCGCAAGCTTCACCAAAACGTTCTGGAACTCTGCTGCCATCGAGGTTAACAAAGGGACCACCAAAGGCGGGCCGAAAACGGCAGAGACGTGCAAAAGTAAATACGGAAAGGTGCGCAATCGAAATTCATGCACGCAAATTCATCTTAATCATTTACCATAGCTCAAGGGCTTGTTCTACATCGTACGTGACATCACGAGGAACTCCGGCTGGGCCTGGGACAACGAGCTCGGGGCTTGTATTGGTCCAGCCAATGAAGGAACGTGGAATGCCTGGGTGGAAAAGAACCCCAAGGCTGCTCCCTTCCGGAACAATGGATGGTGCCACCTCGAGGCATTCCAGAGGCTGATTCCGGACGCTCCTGCGCGCGGTAATCATGTCTTTCGTCCGGGTTTCCAAGCCATGGCTGTGTTGCCCCAATCTCAGCCGGAGCTAGACGATGAAAACTACGATGGTCACAGCATTGATTGGGACCTCGAAGCCCTAGAGAAGGACAAGCAGCTGCAGAAGGATAGTGATGATGATAGCGACAAGGAGAACGAGGTGCGTGGGCAATGCATCCTTCATGATCCTTTTGCTAATATTGAGCTCATGTACTAGGTAGTCCCGAAAACACCCGCACCTCGTAAACGTGCAGCGACGGACCCCGCGACGGGAACGACGAAGAAGCCGCGCACTTCGCACACTGGTGCCTCCGCTCTTCACGACGTTGCTGACCAGATCACCGATTTCAATGCAATTTTCCGCATGGCCTTCGGTCCATCGACCTCCAATACTGAAATACCGCCTACTCCGGTTCGTCTCAAAACAGCTATCAAACGCGCGCAGGAGTTGGAGACGTGGATGGATAAGGGCAAGCTCATCCTTCTTCTCGAGGTCTTAGAGGCAAGCAAGATGGCAGTGGATGTATATGATTCGCTTGACGATGAGGACTTGCGCATCATGTGGGTCAAGCGCAAAGTTGGGATTGCTTCTTAGATAGTTTTGTTGCAACTACTCCTCTCCCAATTCATCCCCCGCTCACGCAAAATGGCTTGATAGCTGTCCCACATCTTTTGTGCAATGTCGTCCCGCTGTTTGTCTGCTCGAGCTTTCTCCCTTCGTGATGTGGGCCCTCGGGCAAGCTCTCCGTAGTCCTCGATATAACCAGGGTCAGGATCATGTTCCCCTTCAAAGTCGTCAATGTCCGTCGGGTCGTGCTTCATGATGAGATTGTGAATTGCAGCGAGAGCAGGGAGCACCCGGGCTTGAATGTCCAGGTCGACTTGTGGTGGGTGAGTGAGGATAGTCATAGCCCAGCACTTTTTGACGACTCCGAAAATGCGCTCCACAACATTGCGGGCAGAAGCATGTCGCAAATTGTACAGTTCTTCCTTGTTTGCCGGTCTGAAAAAAGAAAGGCTTAGTTTAAAATAAAGCTGAGGACCAGTCTGATAATACCTTACACTGGCCCTTCCCCACTCTGCCAGATGATACCGAACTCCACGATATGGGATGAGAGCAGCGTCACAACTCCCGAAACCTGCATCTGCCAAATAATACCTGCCTTCCGGTATATTGAGATCGCTGAGGCAGGCATCCAGATAGATTGCGGCATCAGCAGCAGAGCCTTCCCACCCGCTCAGGATATACAGGAAAACCATCTCCTGAGATTCATAGGGTTCACCAGGGGTAAGGGTAAGGTATAGAACTTGATACCTCTACCTCTACCTCTGAAACCCTTACCCTCAGAGAGGTAAACCTCTACCTTACCCAGAGGTATCCAGAGGTATGACCTCTCCATACCTCTGGCCTGCACCTCTTGAAAGGTACTAAGGAGGTTTGTCCAGAACATGGTCTACATATACATTTTCCAACACTACAAGGGTTATCCATACTTCTTATCAGGGATAGAATCCCAGCCTCAGCTCATACAACTGTATTTGTTATGTGAAAGATATTAGTAAATCCAAAATAATCATGGCTTGGCTGAGATCTTGGCTGAAATCCAAACTCAGGAGAGTTCGCATGGACACCAAAATTTCATTTACCACCTCCTTGTCCTGGAATAGGGGGAAAAATCAGGTAAAAGATACACAGAGATCCTCGTAGCAGTCAAATTCTGTACCTCTCTATACCTCTCTACCTCCAGAGGTCGGGAGAGGTTTGGCAAAAGGTACAAATGAGGTGACCTCTACCTCTACCTTCCCCATACCTCCCCCCCTACCTCCAGAGGTATACCCTTACCCCTGGTAAACCCTACCTGAGAACAGCAGGCAAGACAGTTCACGGTAACTCCGCCTTTGCGATTATGAGATGCCTGTCGGTCAGCCGCACCCGGACAGGAATTTATATGGGTTCCATCCATGGACCCTAGAGCACCTTCGAAAAATGGGAACCATTTGGGATTATTGCGAACTGAAGGCGGGACAGGTGCATGGATGGGAGGGAGTCGGACATAGAAGGAGTAAAAAGGTGGAGAGGAAACAGTGATCAAGATGAGGCGGAAGTATCTGTGGAAAAAATTCAGTGGATAAGAGATTGAAATGAACAGGGACACAAATACTTGGAAATGGTGTCTGTCGACCGTTGGAAGCGCTCACCAACATGGTGCAGTGATAAACCTGTTACGCATGTATACAGGAAAATTGCTGCCTGCTCTCGTAGTGTAACATGCCGGGAGTCGGCGAGGCCGCCAACAACACGGAGCTGAGAAACAAAGGCCAGAAAGACGTGTAGGTGCATCCCGAGTTCCGTTTTAATGCGATCCGGATGGCCGATAATCAGCTCCTGCACCCACGCTTCACCGGTCAAAGCAGAGGTATGGTACGGCTGCTTCCAATACCATAGCGAGGCATAAAGGACAACTGCAAGAAAGACCATTCGCATGAAGCAACATGCCGCGAGGAGGAGTTTGCGGCGACGCGCTGCCTCCTCGGCCGCGCGCGAAGTAGCAGAAGGCATCTTTTCTCGCGGTAACGCGCCGTGTCACGGAAAATCACATGACTACTAAATAAGGAAATCTCTACCCATCAAGTTTTGAGATTTCCGAGCTTACCCGTTGCCGTATACACTCTTACCGTGCGGTGGCCGGGTGGCCGGGTCAAAGCCGAGGAGAAAACAAGGCGGGTCGACAGCAGCTATACAGCCTCGTGGATGGCGAAACAGCTCTTCGTGGAGCATGGCGCTCGCTTCCGCTAATACCAGAAGAGTTTGGAGTGTCGATGTAATGACAGTAGTTCACCCGAGGACATTTGGCAATGCTGTACATGCTTTTCTCAATCAAAGCATTGGTCCGGCAAATCCCGGCAAATCTGAGACGCACACCTAGCCGACCGCGCGAACACCGACCTAAGTCTTCGTGGACAAGATAGCTCGCTCCCCTGTAGTGATTCTCCGATCTACTTATGCGGAGGGAGAGCCGGCGGTTCGAACCCGCCCGAAGACATTAGAGGGCTTAACTTGCAGCCCTTTCTCTCATCGGATTTGTGCAACGTCTGCACGCCTAGCCAGCCGGAGACACCAAAATAAGTCCTCGTTCAGATACACCGGATTCAGACCCTCCGTGGAGCAACGAAGCTCGCTCCCGCGGTTTGAAGTAGAAACGGATCCGGGAGAGCCGGCGGTTCGAGCCCGCCCGGAGGCATGCGAACTGCCCACAATTGTTTTTCTTTCAGCAGAATGCTTTTGTTTTCTCCACGCGAAGTGCGTGCCTCGTGTTCAGGCGAGGGGCGTGTGCGTGCGTATGGGCGGAGAAAGCGAGTGGAGGGGTGGGGCGCGCGAGCGGCAGGGGATGCAGAGATTTGCTGTAAATTGTTGTAAAACTGTCGGAAGAGAGGAGAGGCGGGTGAACGCGAGCCAATGAATGAATGAAACAGGCTCCAGAGAGGAGGAGCAAGTGGGGGCGCGACACAACGTGAAGACCCAGAGACAAGTTCATAAAGATCTCAAGACACGTTGACAACGAGCCGAAGACCAGTTGATGTCGGACGCAGACGCGGAAGCGGGAAGACGATTTGTGGCGCTTGGATATATACGTAGATATACATATGAGTGTCTGGTCATGTACTCCTTATTCAGATTCCGTAGTCCAGATGGCGGAGTCGGTGTCGTCGGGGAGAGACGTATCACTATCAGCGTTCTAGCGCGGTAGGAAGACGGAACGTGTTTGAGCGCAGACCAGAGCCTGAGATCGCCCAGGGAGTGGAGGGATGCGATGCGGGACCACGAGGAGGAGGGGAGCGCCGGTGGAGCAGGAGATAGCCCAGTTATAAGCGATTCAACAGACAGAACACCGAGGTAGGAGAGCATCAGAATGCGAGTGGACGCCCGGAGAGAAAACACAGACATAATTCGAACGCCGGGATGGATGGACTCCCCCCGCGCAGGCCTACAGTAGATCATCGAAGCACACCCAAGACGTGGCCGTCCGCAGCGGCGGATGCGCGGCGCATCGCAGACGAGCGCAGGGTGATGGTCACGAGCCATTCGAGCTGCGCGCGCCACGTAAGGTACGACCGGGCGCGTTGTAGATGGAATTGTGTTTTTCAGGCGCCGATCTGAGATCTCCGCAGCGACCGAGCGAGCGGAAGAGTGCGAACTGCAAGGACGTAAGAGGGCCGGGACGCGATGGGGGGAGCCTAGCCCTGAGTGTGATCACGAGAGATTCGACACAGAAAAAGAGTCCAAAGATTCATAGTCCGAGTCAGATTCTCGAGTGGCCGCCCAGAAGGAAAGACGGAGAAGTGCGGGTAGAAATCGCCGAAAAAGATCCTGGATGCACTCCCCGTGCGGTGTTGAGTCGCCGGAGCGCACTCAAGGCGGGTCGACATGGCCGTGCGCAGAAGGAGCCCATTTGCGCATGTTTGCCTGAGCCCTCCGCCTGTCGTCGCGTGTTTACCGCCGCTTCTCCTCTACTCCGCACGCCGGCAGGTTAGGACGCCTGCACGATGCACCTCCCGCCCGCGCTCCTCCTCCAAGCTCTTGCCTTTGCACTCGGCGCCTCGGCCGCGGCGAGTAGTAGTAGTGCAATCGTCGGCGACGTCTCCTCATGTGGTGCGTGCGCTTTCTCCTCGTGTTGGTACCCAAACTCATTTGCGCAGTGGCGAACTGCCTCTGCCTCGCCGCGGCCGCATGTTTACCGCGCCCCTTGTGCGCTCCCTCCCTACTCCCGCCACCAACCCTCTTTCTCTCCTCTCCGCACGCCGGCAGGCATTATACACCTCTCGCACGCGCTCCTCCTCCTCCTCCTTACCCGCGCCCTTACCAGCGCGCTCGGCACCCGTGCCGCGTTCTCGTCATCCACGCCCGGCGCCGCAAGCGCAAGTGCAAGTGGAAGCAGCAGCGCAATTGGCCCGCCGGCCCACTCGGCGGCGCTGCCCTCCGTGAGCGGTGCGTGCGCTGCTTCGTTTTTGTCGTATGGAGACTCGCGTTTGGGTCACTGCCTCGGGCTTGCCGCGCCGCGAACTGCTCCTCCGAGGTCGCGGTGCGCGGTGAACTGATCCTGTGTGTCACATCGTAGTGCTTTCTCCTCTCCTCCTCCCCTGTTTCCCTTTAACCCCCTGCGCAAAAGCTACGCCGCCGCCCTCCTCTCCTGCCTCATCGCGTGCCCGGCCGAGCTCCCATCCGCGCAGGCGCTCGTCGAGCAGTTCTGCAATGCTGCCACCAAGCCTACCTTCATCTTCATCTCCTTCCCTACTTCGTGCTGCATCGTCGAGCTCCGCGTCTGCTTCCTCCGCCTCTGCATCCGCGTCCAATTCGAATTCGAGCGCGGGGTCAAGATCCACGACGGCACGCGCGACTCCGCGCCGCCTATCATCGCCGCGCACACACCGTGCACCCGCTCGGCAGTGGCCACCAATGATGGCCGGCGTACTGCTCCTGCTTCCTTCCAGATATCTCTGGCTCTATCTCAACTCCCTTGCGCATCGGCTGTTCCCGGTCCCTGACGTGCTGTGTCCGATTGCTGGCTTGGGCCGGGTGCGCTGCGTTCGTCTCTCGTGTCTCCTCTGCCGCTGCCTGCGTTCGTTCGTTCGTCTATTTCGCTGGTGCCCGTCCTCGTACGCGAGGCCTCGTGCCCTTGGCGTCAGTCCGCCGCACCTCCTTAACGCGCGAGCGTAATCCTCACGGTATCTTGGCCAACGCGCCCTGTATTATTTCTATCTTCGTTCCTGCACTGCAAGTTCCTCTGTATTCTTTCGGATTCTGTGTTGTCATTGTTTACCTCTACGCCTGAGCTCGGTGTCTTTCTCAGCGGAGAGGTTCGTATCTGATGTTTCGGACGGATGAGATCGCGCCCTCGTGGATATGCGTGGCATCCTTTGTAATACACGGTTTCTACGTGCGCTTTATTTCACTGTATAGAATCCCCGATGAGTGCCCACGTAGGCGGCGGCGCAGCTCCGCAGGTGAGTCTTCGGCTCTGCAGTCAAGTACTAGTCTTCGTAGAGCAGAGCAGGGTCGCGCGCTCGCTCGATTTGTGCATTCCGGATGATCCCTGTTACATACTGTAAGTGGGAGGGAGAGCCGGTGGTTCGACTCCACCCAAGTGCATTCCGCATTTCTCTCACCTTTTTCTCTGTCGACGCGTCGCTCAGGCGAATCTTGTACATGTAGCCGGGGTAACAGGTCTTCGTGGAGTGGGATAGCTCGCTCCTGCTCTTAATAAGCAATTTAGTTAATTTAACGCACGGAATTAATGCATCGAGGCCGCGTGTGATGAGTCTTCGTAGAGGAGACTCCCTCCCGCCATTTACGTAGGGACATGTGGAAATAAACGGAGACGTAGGTTGTTCTTATCGAGTAGGACTTTGAGCGGCACGCGGAGTCACTCATCGGGCAGGGCACTGAGATAGGTAAGGAAGTCAATAATTTGCAGGTAATCTTGGTTCGGCAGGGGGTTCTAAATTTAGGAGAGGCGTAAATGATCGATACATGCGTCGATTACGATTATCTAACAAAAGTTGCGATAAGGTGACTGGGGGGTATACATAAGCCCGCGACATCAAGGTGCATGCTTTCAAGTCGGGTGCCATGCCATACGCAATATGCAAGGCAAACTGTAGGACGGGAGGTGCGGATGTGCAGTCGTGGTCTACACCACCGATCTGCCCAATTAATTTGCACCGTGAAGAACACAGATAGACGCCGGCGTCCCACGGTCATTTTTTACATGTCACCCCATTTCGCCGTGTCAACATCGGAGCATTGAGGGCATCATCGACTGTTGACCACGCCTCGGACACGTTTGACACTGCACTGGCTTGAAAATTAATCAAGTCAAGAGATGAACAGCCGCAGAATTCAGATAATCGACACTACGTACCATTATTAAACGTGGCTCCTGTTAGCCACGCCTCGGACACGTTTGACGCCAACAGCTTGCACATTCATCAAGTCTACCAACGGCCAATGAAAAGCATGGAATGCACGCCGAACATTCGTGGACAGGTACCAAGCCCCGTGGCACAGGACATGAGGAGCCGCATGTCATTGAGTGACCGGCGACCGGTGAGATGCCACAGCTTCGTGAAGACATAAATAGTCAAGCATTGACCACGTCCCTCACTTCCCTCGCAGCTCCTGTCTGACCTCCCATTGACTGACTGTGTACACTATCAGAGGAGCAAAGACTCGGATCCACAGCAATGTCGAACACAAATGCCCCTCATAAAGGGGTGAGAGTCTTGTCCCTGGGTAATTCCCTCGTCCCACTCAGCTTGAAGTCACATTGACCCCCATGATTGGTCAGATGGTGGTGGAGCAGGAGCACTATCTGAGTTACTCATCCTGGAGCGAATTATGTATCAAGTGCAGGCTACTCTCCCCTCCGACACGGCTCCTGCTCCATGTGACTATTTCGAGGTTATCGGAGGTAGCGGTGTAGGAGGGTGAGTGTTATTTCCTGGAAAATGTGGTAAACTGATGCAACTTACAGGATCATCGCATTGATGCTCGGGCGCCTCCGCATGTCGGTCTCTGCTTCTATTTCAGCCTATGAGAAGCTTCGACCTAAGTCCAAAAGGGGATCTGCCGAGAAGTTCAAAGCCAGCCAGCTGGAAGCCGCACTAAGGCAGATATTTCAAGAAGAAACAATGAGAGATGTCAGCCCACATGCCTGCAAGACGTGAGTGTAACTATCTGTCATCAAAAGAAACTACCCTTATCTGGATGCAACCCCTAGTTTTGTGTGTGCCATGCATGAAAGCAATCTGAATGCCGGTATTCCTGAACTTTTTCGCTCATACGACACACCAGAGGAACCGGCCCTTGATTGCAGAATATGGGAGGCAGCCCGGGCCACCTCTGCTACACCTGGACTTTTCAAACCAATGGAAATTGGCCGGGGAGGGGTGAGGCCAAAGTACATTGGTGGAGGTGTTTGGAACAACAACCCAACCTCTCTGGTTGTTGCAGAAGCCCAGAAAATGTACCCCTCACAGCCTGTTGTCCTTGTGGTCAGTGTTGGCAGTGGCCATCCTGACACCATCCAGATTCCAAGATCCCCAAGTTTGACTGCCTTTGCCAAGACCCTGAAAAGCATTGCAACTGACTGTGAACGGATACATGAGGACAATGCACGCAGATTTCGCAGCAGTCCCAATACCTATTTTCGCCTCAATGTCCAGCAGGGTCTCCAGGGCTTTG